AGGTGTTGTTATATTGTTCAGTAGCCTCAAATCATACAAAAAAAAATTTCTAGCAACAGCTCCCATTTTTCATCAAGTATTTTAAACTTCCATTTATTCTAAATAATAAAATTAACTATGATTGTAGTACTTAGAACATGGCTGTGAATTTTTTATCTCAATATTAACAATACAGATGTTGGTTATTGCATTAGTACTTTCTGTCTGTAGCCATTTATATTTTTGCTTCTGTTAATAACTGTGATTTGGTTCAAGGTCTGGTAACAGAGGGCATGCAGACATTATTATGTGATGCTTAGCAGTCTTGTTTTCAATACACAAGTAATGTGGCTTCTAAATATTTGCAGCTTACAGTGAACCAGATAACAATTAAACTTCACGAGCAAGGTTTTGCTACTAATGGGAGAAAGGAAAAATTAATTGAAATGTGAGGTCATATTTTTTGACACTATGCAATAGTACAATACTCTTACTATTTCACCAAGTTTTGTCAAAAATACTATGTGCTAAAATGTTTATGAATGTTCTGAACTGATAGTAATGACATTGAAGCTGAACAGTTTGAGTCGAAACATAGAACTTAAGCTTATTGTTTTTAGATTCATGACACACAGCTTACTTATGAATAGTGTGTAATCAGAGGTGTGAAAATTGGTTTACATTACTTGAATGGATTAGATAGTTTTAATTGTAGTTTTTCATGAGTTTTCTGACCCGATGAGAAACTGTGATCAACTTCCTTGATCATATTCGATTGATGAGTGAATACGTCTAAGCAAAGTTACATTATAATATTTTCATTTCTGCAAGAATAACGTGTTCAGGGGAAACAAATGTTAAACATTACTCCAAATAATTTTACTTACTACCAGAATTCAATCTACTGTCAATCACTTAATCAATAAATATGATCTTCACGTTACTTCGGTCTTGCCTGAATCAACCTTATTTAAATAGATAAAAATACATATTGGTTGTTTGAATAGAATTTGGCTGCAAGAAAAACTTTTTTTACAAGGGAAATTAATTACACATAGTTTCAAGGTGGAAACATGTGTTATTTGCACATGGTGCTTCCAAACAGTATTATAATAATTTGGTTTGAAGTTGGTTTTGCTTACAATATCATAAGAACCTGTGTTCTAAAGGCTTTTACTGTCCTGATGCACATGATTTACAGCTATTGATGTCCACCAGTTTTGTATGTACACGGTAATATTGAAGCATGTTGCTTCAGAAATGGTTCAAAAGTCCAAAATGTTTATGCGAACAAGATATGCAGAAGTATGCCATTAATCTCCATTTTGTTATTCTGATGACTATTGAGCCTTTCAGGGTAGACTTTCTTTATCTTTTGATGGTAAATTACTCACCCTCCTTTTTTTTTTTACTTGCTACTATGACTCTTGGCCAGATAATTGTTTCTTTCTACTTGGAAATATAAATGAATGTTATCATTAAACTTGATAGTGAAAAAAAAATGTGATAAGTTATTGCATTTCCTATCACAGATCCATTCATAAGCTCCTTGTTATTACTTCCTATTCACCTTTCTTGAATGCAGTAGATTACGATGACAGTTTTATGTGCTTGTGATGGGTTTCTCTTCAGTGTTGAATGGCTTTAGTTATACCTACACTTCAGAAGATTCCTTTTTTTTTTTTAGACCTGTCATCTTGGGTCTGGAATTTGTCTATTTTCTGTATTTTACAAAATAAAAATGAAATTTCAAAGTAATAATTTTTCAAAGTGATTTCAGTAATATTTTGTGTTTATCTTGTCTTCTTTTTCAGGGACCCTTTCATCATTTTCATTTGAATCCCGCTCAGTGGTGGGTGTTGCCTGGTCCTTTCAAATCTGCACTAGCTACCAGTCGACCAATAAAAAATTTCCTGGTAGCAATGAGCTCTGTTGAGGTGGGGTGTTCCATAAGATAACTTTGTGCACTTTCCAGGTGGTAAACAGTTATATCACTAAGACAAATACACTTCTAGACCACCACTCATGGACTATCATGAGTAATGCTTAAGGAGATTTTGCCCATCCCTGCTGAGCCTTAGATTGAGTAAATTGGGGTCGGGTTGGTTTTCAAAATATGGAACATGGTTCATTTATTGCACTATCTCCGGAACATCATTCCACAGGACTACCCAATGCAAATATCTTCCCCATTTCTCTTAGTGGAGCATGAGAGTCCTTACCACTCCCAGTTTCCAGTCACTGGAGTAGTGGACAGAGGTTTATTCCTCCTGAGTGATACTTGAATTCATTATTACACTCAAGGAGAAGAGGACAAAGCTGGGTGCCCCCCCCCCCCAATAAACATGGATAATTTTCCTAGATGTATGGAAGGAACAGGACCAGCTTATGTGGGAGCCTCCTTATAATTTTGGTTCAGAGATGAATCTTTGCTATTTGGTTGAGTTGAGTGTGGCCATTTTTTTGGTCATTTTCTTCATTTTGATGATCATGTAAGAGGATCCTCGACTCCTCATAATTTTGCATGTGGAACATCAATTCTTGTGTTATTAGCTGGATTTAGTTTGTTCCACATTCTCCTCATGATTCCAGGGACAGGAGATGTTGCCTTGCCTCTCAGGTTGGGGAGTTAGGATTTTGGTTTGTAATTCCAGACCATGAAATCTCTATTTCTTCAGGTTGAGTGAGGAATGACAGGTTCCATAAATCCGAGTTCAGTTTGTTGCATTTTCTGCTTCTTCAGGTTGGGGTGAGATTTTGTCCACTTTTATGTTGCTTGTCTTCTTTTCATAATTTCGGTGGCTTGGCATGCAGCATTCTGTAACTTTCATGATGGTGTTCCAATAATACCATATTACTAAACAAGACCAAATACAAAGCAGTCCACATACCCAAGCCACTGTCTTGGATTGAGATTTGGGTCCATAGCCCTATAATTCCAGTGACGAGAAGTGGGACCTGGTCTGCCTGGTTGGGATTTGCCTCTGTGGCTCTTGGCCTTTACTGCCCACTAATTAGGTTTCATGTTGTCTGGCCGAGGAGCATACCTCTTCCAGAAGTAGTGTAGACCCCACTGGTGTGCTATTACTGTATCTCATTTTTGCACACCTCTTTTCTATGCATTCAATTTCTGTGTGAATCTTTCCCTTACTGGCCCCTCCATCTTGTCAATGTGGGATTCTAGCTAAAGTGTGAGAAGAGGTAAGTGTATTTTGGAAGTTAAAATTTTCATATACCAAAAATGTATTTCCGATAAAGCCTCTTCTCACATTCTCTTGCACTTCCTCCCCACAAAATAGTTGTTTTTGGGTCTGTTAGTATGACCGTCTTGAAAAGTGAGTAGGAAGTAATAACGAAGGGATTTATATATGGATCTGGGATGGGGGTGCATTGACATTGGTGGTGAGAACCACAAGATTTAACTTGCTTTGGGCATTATAGTGGGGTATAAAGGCTGGGGTAAGTGAGGTAAGATTCATACCAATGCTTAGATGGGCAGAGAAGAGAAACTTTTGTCATGATAAAGCTGAAGTATAGGAGGAGGTAAGTATTATTGGAAATATATTCTTGGTATAGAGAAATGTTAACTTTGGCAATACACATAATGAAGGTTGAATTTCAATTGTAGCCTACTTATACCTAATCCAACATTTGTTTTCCCATTGCAGTGCTTTCTGTCTAGCTAGAACTATGTGTAATTAAGGACAAATCAGCAGTGTTGTGTATTATTAGACTGTTGTTAGTCCATGAACAATAGGCATCACTTTGGTTAGTTATGTGTCCAACAGCTACTAGGCCACACCTTCACATTTGTGAGTTGTGTAAAAGCAGAATGGATACATACCATAATGCAGAGTCATGCCAATGGATGTAATACTAGCTGTTGTGCTGTGTATGAGCTCAGTTGCTATGTATCTGAAGCTGAACAAATTTGTTTGAATTATAGTAAAACCTTGTCCATACTTTTGAACTACTTAACACCGGAAAACATTCAGCTGGCAACATCCACTGCCTCCCAACTGTTGGCCATGGCAGTTTGAAGCTAAAAAAAACTTAAAAAATAATAGTGAGAACTCGTGAGCAATATCTCAATTATTGTATATGGGTTGTTGGAATAATTAGAAACACTAATTTTACTTAGTTGCATTTTTGTGAATTGCTATACTAATTGGTTAAGATGAAGCAGCTTGAATTAGTGAAAAATAGTATTGTAAAATCATAATGATTGTTTCAAGTACTTGAATAGTTGGAGTAATCAAAAACAGTACTAATTGGTAACACTGATTTTGATTAGTTGGTTATTTATGTGAGTCCTGGAACTAATAACTGAAACTGAATTAATTGAAAATAATAAGATATCATAATGACAATATATCAATTACTCAGATAGTTTGAGTAATCAAAAACACCTATAATTATTAGTTGATTATTTTTGTGGCAATAATTGATTTAGTTGTAATTTTGCTTAATTGTTAATTTTCTGTGACACTGATTGATGTAATTGATGCTCAGAGGAAATTGATTATATTAATTAAGTTAATTGCCCAGCTCTAGTTTTCTTATGTATGTGTTTTATATTCTAGGTTTAAGCTAACACTGTTGTTGCTATCAGAGGTAAATTTTCATAAAATTTTCTTTTTGATAAACATTTAGTTTGATATGATTTGCATTTACTATAAAGCTTGCTTTCATTAAAGTTGTACTTGACTCAAATATTTCAGTTGAACAAAGCTAATTGTGTCTACCAATTAATATTTCATGAAAAATTCAGAATAGATAGCTGGGGGTTCTATGTGTAAGATGTGATATTTTTCTTTGTTGTACAGTGTTTAGTTTGCAATCAAAATTTTCAAGTAGTTTTTATGTATATTCCCCATCATTATGAAGGTCATTAGTTCAGGAATGTAACACATTTAAATCTATAAGGTATCAGATTGCATATACACAAAAGTACTATACAGACATGCCTTTTTTTTTGTTGTGTCTGTTACAGGTTTAAGCCAATTTTTGTCTTTCCTCAGGTCTCCAGTGTATGCATATCAATTCTGTCTTTAATTAGCTAAGATGAAAAGCTAGAATGGAGAGACAGGAGGAAGAGAGGTGTTTTCTTAAAGACATTCCTGAAGATAAAAAAGCAGATGTATTAGATAATTCAGGATCAGGTGTAAGCCAGTTGGAGCCTGTGAGTGTGAGAGACCAGAATTTAAAGATTAAACAAGAAAGTACTTTTATAGTGTCATCCCCAAATACTTTAAATACAATTCCTTCAAAGCCATCAACCCTTGATTTATCAGTTAGTTCAACTGAAGAATTATATCAAAATGCTCAGGGTGAAGACCTCATTCCTGATGAACCAGATCTGATTTCTAGCAGTGGACAGTTGAGTGTTAGTACTGAAAGATGCCTTGATCTGAACTCCTGCACATCAGGGATTGGAACTTCAAAAGAACTTAATCATTGTTCTACACAGTCCTTCTGTTTAAACAAATCACGCTTGACACTCCCACTCCAGTGTGTGGCTCCATTGAGAAGAGGACGAGGTAGACCTCGCAAAGATGGAAGTTATCCAATTCAGAGGAAGAAAAAGTATGTACTTAAGGCAGTTTTGATTGTTTTGATTTATATTGTATAGTTAAAAATATTCATTGATGGTTTAGATGTAATGCTTTTTTTTAAACTAAAAAAACAACAACTAACAAATGGAAGTTCAGTGATAAAATCTGAAAACACAGAGAACTGGTTAAATTCACTGTAAAGAAAAATAATTGTGTAGTCAATATTTGGCCCAAACAACCCTTATCAATATCTAACAGAATGTAAGATGGTGCACAAATATATAAAACTATAGAGTAATTCCTAGTTATTGGAGAGCCAGTAGGAAGAGAGTGCAAGAAAACCAAAGTACGGGAAACAGAAGAAATGTAAGTTCTTGGTTGGCAGGAACCAATAAGATATTTAGTGATGAAGGGTTTGTAAAATGAATAAAGCAAACAAATAATAGAAACAATAAAAAGTCAGTGACAAAGATTAGAACTGAACAATGAGTGGAAGTTGATCATCAGGCTTGTTTGAAGTAATGAAAAAATAATAATCAGAAACATTAATTTTTATTAGTTACTTTTGAGAGTTATGAAACATGTCGGTTATGCTGAACAACCTTGAATTAATCAAAAATAATATAAGAAATCATTATGGCAATATGTTTATTACATGAATAATTGGGCCAACTGAAAACTAAATTTGATCAGTTGATTATTTTTGTGTCATTAATCATTTCACAAGTTTGATTAATCAGTTGTTACATGACACTAATCAATGTAATTGATACTTATTGGAAATTGAGGTATGAATAAACTGAGAAAGTAATTGAATTGAAAAACAAATCAAAGAAAAATTTATGGTTGATGGTTACTGTTAGAATAAATGGTGTGATTTCTTCATTATTTTCTTTGAATGTTTGAAGAACTGAAACTTGAATAAAATGAATAATTTGGTGTTTCTTTTTATTTTGGTTTTGTTATACATTATTTCTTATTTCATTGTTCTATAACACACCTTCACCTTCTGTTGATAGCTGGCAGCCAAGATGTTTTTCTAGTTTTTGTCTACTCTGTTTCAGTACACTTGTACTTTCTTTCTGTTGTCTTTCCATTAACAAGTTCTTTTATTCATATGTATTTAATACAACTTCTTATTTTTCTTCAAGTCTCAATAAAAAGTGTGTTGCTGAAACGTTGACGATTTAATTCTTTTTTCTATATTGAATTCATTTATATAGAACAATTTAGAAAATACATGTTAAAAGAGTATTTTAAATGTCATATTATTTAATTTAGATTCCGTGGACGACCTAGGATACATAGCAGGAAACAAGAACGGGAGAATTTGTTTGGAAATTCACATAGTTTATGTCTCCCATTACAACCACCTGTAACAAGCTCTATCCTAGGAGATAAAGTTGCTGATGAGACAGATATATGCACTTCAAATGTTTTGCCTACTAGTCGTATTTCCTCACGGTCAATAAACTTGGAAGTGTCAAAAAAGCCTGTTTACCTCGAACAAGATATTTTAATGCAAACAAGTAAGCGGATAGAACATTTTAAAGTATTGAAGATTGGTGTGCTGTAATATTTTGAAAAGTTTATAGGCAAAATATTGATACCTGGTAGTATAACATTTAAATTTCTCTTGATTATGTATTCTGTTAAGTAAGTTTAGGAAAATGAGCTGCTTTTGACTATACTATAACACTTTAGTTTATTTTAACTTGAAGTAAATTTTACTGCAAATATAACAACAGTTTTTGTAACATTATAATAGATAAAAACCTTATAATAAACATACAATTGTAGATTCTATATTTATTTGTAAACTTAGAAGGTGTGTATTACATTTAAAAGTCACACCAGTCTCTCTCTTTATGGTTATTTGTTTTACAGCTTTAATATTTGAGAAATTTAAAATTTTCAAGCACAAAAATATTGCACTTTGCCACACATACTTTTGTGTACTTGAGTAATGTGTCAATTTAGTTAATAATTGTGATATTTTCAGGACAACTGTTTTCCTAATAATATTCAAGAAAGAAATGTAAATAACAAGAGTTCTTACAGAAAACATATCACAGTGTTAAACTGAATTTCTCCGACTCTGATTGACTTGAGTTTGAAATAGGAAAGAGACAAAACACAATTTAAAGAAAGTGATGAGTGGTCTTTACTTACAACTTAAGTCAGTCAAAGAGACAAGTACACTGAGAATCTCTGCTTTTATTGACTAACGTATGTTTGTTAGACACTTGTTTTGGATGGAGAGTGCACAGTTTTTCATACAAAATTCTGTATCGCCACCTATTTCAGTGTTTATGCACTACCACCTATATTGCTATTGATCTTTTCAGTAGAAAATCAGGAAGGATATGTTCTCAAGCTATCATCTGATCTGCCAGTGGAAAACATCACTGTCCACCTTTACATGGCATATTTCACTGTACAACAACATTTCCCATGAGAGAGTGCATTTGACACCAAAGAGGGAATGATTCAGGACAATAGCTAACTAGCGTGAAAGTAATCTAGCCACATTCCACGACCAATGTTATTCATGCATTGTTAAAGCATGACCTGCTAGATTTTAAACAAACTGATTATAAACTTGTTTCAAAATCCCCTTGCAAATTTAAAATCAGAGTTTGTTTCAAAGCTGGCATGGTATATAAGAACATACTTAATGTGGAAGATTAATAGATAAATAATTTATCACTCTTATATACATATATTCCCAAATATATATATATGTCTCTCTATATATATATTTTTTCAAATGCAGATGCTGCTTCACCAGAATCATCCATGATAGTTCCTTACAGTTCTTCTCAGGGAGAAAGGGCTAAAAAGAATTTCCAAGAAAAATGGTAATTGCCGTGATTATATAGGATTTTGATAAAGTTGTTTTATTTTATAGTAGTTTAAAAGGGAAGACTTGAACAAACATAGGAAGTTAATTTTTTTTTGCTTTTAATAAATCATATAAATACTGTTTGATGATACTATGGTTCAAAATGTTAAGTGAAGTTATTTGTAAACAATGCTCATGTTGTGACTTATAGCTGCAATTTTCAGCTAAATTCTGTTTAATTGGGTCAGCTATGCAGATGTTAAGAAATGTCACCCAGTGCAGTATTTTATCTTTTTTTGATCAAAGTGTATATTGAATTGGACCTCCCTTGAACTTAAACTTCAAGTTTAAATAATTTTCAGAATACTAAGTTTATTTATTGTCTATTTTAGTTTTGTTTATACATATACTGTGTATTCTTTTGATATTATAGTGATTGAAGCTGATTAACATTCTTGTCAATTTTAGCACCCATAGTTTTGTATCTTTTAGTGATAAAGATTTTAGTACAAAATGTGTGCTGATGCTTAGCACTGAAAGAGTAAAAACATACAGAATCAAACACTGCTTCACACAAATGTTTCTATCTAAAGTCATTTAAAGATTCATTCACTTTTCCTTCTTTTTTTGAAGATAAAAGCTGAATGATCAATGGCAAAAGATCAAATTACAAATTCTTGTTACTATAATAATAGAAATAATGTATTTCTTAATGAAGCCAAATCATTATCTTGTTAATAATTTAAATTATGGTTTTGTTTTACATTGTTTATTTTCTTATGAAACATATTTTGAATAGATAAATGGCATAAACCAAAACTCGGATATACTGTTGATATGATGCACTTAAAATGTTATGAGTTATTTGTTGTAATAACACTTTTTTCTAATACAAATATGTTGCTATTCATGTGTTTTAGGGTTAGCAAAACTGTGTTTATAATTTGAATTTTCTAGATCACTCTTGTGGAATGGTGTATAACCAGAATCTACATCAGCTGTTATATACACCTGGAAAAAAGTTAAGCACCCCCGTGTTTTTTTCAAGTGATTCAGATTCGACGTTCTTGTGACTGA